CAATGACAAGCGAACAACATACAAAATAACTTTCCATGTAATCGAATACCATATTTTCTGTCCGTACGTGATTTTCTCACAAGCAAACTTTATTTCACCAACCTTCGGTAGCAACTAAACCTTAAACTTGTCTTAAGATTGTTGGAATAATTAGGGTCTAATTGCTATATTAAATCTCATGGAAAATCAAGAAATAATTCATGCAATAATCTATCAAAATAATGCATGCACATGAGTAACTAATGTTAAACAAACATGACATAATGGATTAGAAAAACCTGAAAATACGGTCGAGGCAAGTGTTGGACACTTTGTCCTTAAGACAAGTTTACGACCCACTATGGTGCTCATGGTTGATCGGCGCATGTCTCCCAAGATACAACGACCACGTCCTTGTCATAGTAGCACTCCAAATCACAAGGCTCCATGAACCACGATTGTGTTGAATACTCTCTCATATAGATTCAATGAGACTCTCTAATATTTAGTGCACTATATGTATGATTATGTAAAACAATGAAAAGTCATCTTGCGATTATAGGGGGCTTCCCTATTTATAGAATGTGATATACCTCTTTGGAAAGCTTGTGACTATTCATGAAGAGTCAAAAGTTGCAACACTTCATTTAAGTAGACATATCTTTCTACCAAAAGGCTCCACTTCTAATTTCCATTCAATTAATAAATTTAATATAATAATATTATTATTAAATTTTCCAACATAATATAGACAATTAATTGAAATTTCCCTAGGCTAGTGAGTAAGCACTCTAAAACAACAACATATTGCCACATGCATGCCAATACAAACACATACCTAGTCTATGGCTCTATATAGACTCACACCTCTCAAATGTTTAGGGGTGAGTAATCTCTCTACATTAACTCAACTTGCCAACTCACTCCTACTTGGTAAAAATATCAAACCAAACTCAACATTTAGCCACATGTATAAGCCAAAGGCTTCCCACATCCACGCCCTAATTATTAGCTTCTATTACTTACCAACTTCCACCTTAACCTATCTAGAGTGGTGAATAACCCCTCCTCTTTATTCTCTAATGGTTGCCAAACGCCACTTAGCCTTTGTGAGATAAGTAAAGCCAAACTCATGCACTTAGACACATGCACATACGCTATATAGACTTCCACTCCACATTTAGAGTGGTGAGTAATCACCAAATCATTAACTCCTAATGTTACAAACTCTCCACCTCACCTTTGAGAGAAATTAACAAAACAAAACTACTCATTTAATCCAACCTCAAACTCTCGGCCCTTTGTGAGGAAAATCAAACCAAACTCATTTAATCTCCCTTCCAATTCAAACTAAAAATATCTCTAATTACATATGAACACAAAATAGCTAGTTTTTGAAATAATTTGTAGCAAAAAATTTTACATTGAAACTATAATTTACATATCGAAAATAGGTTATTGTACGTAAAAATAATTACCCACATACACACATATATATAACCCTTTTTTTTTAAATACGGGGTATTACAAAACTGAAACCTTCAATCATTCTCTATATAAACACTGGTTGAATATCAAACCATCACACAACATATTCACCAATCTTTCAACTTTCAAAGTGTTTTTATTTCCTAAAAATCCTCAATATCTCATCAATGGTTGATAGAAGAAGGCGTAGCTTGGCAATGTAGATGGGACAATACCAAGCAAGCCTTGACAATGTGGATGCATAAATGATCAACGTAGAAGCCGAATTTGCAAACTGGCTTATGTAATATGAGCATCATGCTAAATCTAGTTATTGTGGTTCTGTCACATGACGTTCATTTGTGCAGTGTGGTAAAGAAGAGTGTCATGACCGAATGATGAAAGATTATTTCATCGAGCGTTCGAGATATCCTGCTCATGATTTTCGGAAGCGATTTCAGATGAGGAGAGAACTTTTTGAAAGTATCTTGAATGTAGTTGTTAATCATGACCACTACTTTGCAAGGAAGATAGATGTTATAGGCTGGCAAAATCTATCCCCTCATCAAAAGCTCACATCTACATTTCAGATGCTAGTTAATGGGTGCTCTGCAGACTCAACTGACGAATATTGCTGACTTGCAGAGACTACTGCTATTGAGAACCTGAAGCATTTCTGTAAGGTAATTGAAGCCATATATGGAGCCACATACCTCCGCAAGCCAAATCATGAAGATTTGAATAGGCTTCTACGTAAGGCAGACAAAAGAGGCTTCCTTGGCATGATAGGAAGTCTCGATTGTATGCATTGGGAGTGGAATAATTGTTCTACTACTTGGGCTAGCTAATTCAAGGGTCGTCATAACAAGCCAACCATCATGCTCGAGGCTGTGGCGTCTTACGACACATGGATTTGGCATGCATTCTTTGGCGCCCATGGATCAAACAACGATATCAACGTTCTTTGGTTTTCTCCTCTGTTCGATGATGTTGTCAATGGATGGGCACCAAAATGGAGGTACACGGTAAATGGTAATAGGTATAAGCGAGGTTACTACCTAACTAATGGTATTTATCCTAGTTGGTCCACCTTTGTCAAAAGTTATTCTCATCCTGATAGTGCGAAGAAGAAATTATTTTCGCAGAGGCAAGAGTCTTACATGAATGATGTGGAGAGACCGTTCGGTATCCTACAAGCTTGATGGGCCATTGTTAGAGAGTCTGCATGATTATGGCATACCAAAGACCTCCATCTAATCATGATGACATGCATAATTTTCCACAACATGATTGTGGAAGACGAGTACATTGAAATTGAAGAAGATTCAGACAAAGATGTTGATTATGACCAACCAACACATGCGAGAGCTATGTCAAGAGATGTTGAATATCTCACTGCAACCACATATAAGACCCGACAGGATAGGGGCACATTGAGTGAGAATATGAGAAGTTTAAATAGAATTCAAGCTCCTTAAGGTCATGACACACTCCGCAAGGATTTGATTAAGCATATATGGTGCTGAGAAGGTGAATGTTGATGATGTTGGTGTACTAATGTGTTCTTGTGTTAAATTTAAGTGTGTTATGTTGTTATTTTATGTAATAATTTTAAGTGTACTATGTTGGTATTTTCTAGTAATAAATTGAAGTGTCTTCTTGTGCAAAGTATTTTGTCTAGTACATTGTCAAAATTATTGAATGCCATTTGAATCATTGAAGGCATCTATTATATATCAAAGTGTGCAGTAATAAGTACAATAATTATTGAAGGTGTCTAGATTAATAGAAACAATAATCAATAAGCCATAAATTTAATACACACGACAATTAATAAACTACATAAACTTAATACAAATGACAATTCATAAACCACATAAAGCACATAAACTTAATACAATCGATAATTCATAAAATACATAAACTTAATAATGATATCCACCATCTTGACTTGGTGGTGGATTTGGAATATAGCCTTGAGATGAATCATCATCTTGAATTATACTCCTTGTGGCATACTTTCTCAAAATTTCCTTTTGTTTACCACGTAAAAACTTCTTCCTCTCTGGAGTGTATTTGTTGAGGTCCTCCATCATGAAATTAATTTCAAGCCTCTCTTGCTCCCTATCCTCTTCTTCCTTTATGGCCAAATGCATTCGGGCCACTTCTTCTTGCCAAGAGCTATGACTTTCGCTCAATCTTGCAAATCCGGTAGCAATGTGTGCACTCATCAGATCTTGGCTCTTCTTGGGGGCCTTGCAAAAAAAGAAGTTGGGATCAATTCATGGACACTTTCATTGACACCTTCATCTCCACCATTTGTCGGTACGACTTCACATTGAAATAATCTTCCCCATTGTTGGTCAACATCGATACCCCACCTCAAACAATGCTTGTGGACGTCCCAAACATGATGCAACTTAAAAGGTTGATTTTTTGGTGTTACTCTTATCTTGTAAATTTCCATTGCTTTGTTACCCTAGGCAAAAAATACATAAAAACAATTAGTTGCAAAATAATATTATGTACATGACAAATAAAATATCAACAAAAAAAATTCATAATTTATGCAGCACTCCTTCCATTAGCCATGCCAACCACAACTCTCTCCAAGCTCCCCTTTCATAAAGTGCATGCTTTGTTGATAACCTTCCACCGATCACAAACACACCACCTTCCTTCTCGCCGCCGTTGCAATTTTCATGGAACTTATCAATGATTTTATCCCACAAAACCTTTTTATTTTGATTTGTGTCAACTGCACCATCTTCGCTAATAGAAACTCATGTCAAGCATAAAGCAACATTTTCCTCACAGGTCCAAATACGACCTTTAATATGCTCTCTTGCCATCTTGAAAAATTTGGAAATGGAAAGAAATCGTAGAAAGAAAAATTGGAAGACTTGTAGGAGAAAAGTGAGTTTTATGTAGGTGTTTGAACAAATACATAGGTATTTATAGAGTTTTTTTAGTGAATTTTGAGTTAAATAATTTTTTTTAATTATTTTAGTCGTTAGATTTAAATTTCAACCGTTAAATTTTTTTTTACCATTAGATTTGATTATATTCGATCTCAGCCGTTGGATTTAATGTATTTTAAAATTAGATTTTTTTTATAAAATAAAATTTGAATATGGACCGTTGGTTGATCCAATAGTCCAAATATAACAGTCGTTGGATGAAAAAAAAAAAGTCGTTGGGCTCCTGATGGTGGTCGACAGCAGCCCTGACAGTGGGTCCCACCATGTCTGGCTCTGAAGGCTTGGGCTCGCGTGGGGAGAGTGGGGCGCGTCCATTGGCCAAGACTAGGCTGGGTATCTTGGGTGGTATTTAGGCCTCTTTTGAATTTTAGTTTTTAGCCCACATTTTTAACTTGGGTTGAGTTGGATTTAGAAGGAAAAAAGCTAAAATTTAGCTTTTAGTCCATGGTTAGGTTTGGTCTTAGCAAAGTGCTATTTCCGCAGAACGTGGCAAAGAAGGATTTTCACCCCTAATTGGTGAATGGTGGGTTTGGGGAATAATACAAAACGCGGCGTTGCATACGAAACCGATTAGAACACAAAAATCTATCTGAAGGGATAAACCTGGCCGGGAAAGACCAAGCTGCGTAGAATGGTGGGTTCCAAAAGGTCCGTTAGACATAGCTCAATCTCATGAGGTGCCAAGATAACGAAACCAGATATGCTACTCCTTGCTCACCCCTGTAAGTCTTTCTCCTTCCCCGACTCGTCACTTCATCTCGACAATTTCAACTCACAAACCTCAGCATCTGCAAAACCTTCAAGTTATAGCTCCTTTTCCCCAATTGGGTTGTCGAAAAGTCTGAAACTTTGTAGGAATTTTCCCGTTTTGGGAAGTACCCGGATTACGTTTTGCTCTAGGAGTGAGGTGTATGATATTTTTCCAAGTACCCATTTGGAGAACAAGTCTGAAGGGGATGGGGTTGGAGAGAATGAAGAGCTTGAGCTGCTGGATAAGCCTTCCCATGTACCTATAAGTAATGGGTCTGCTTTGGAAGTGGATAAAGATTCCGAAAAACCGGATGAAGAATCGGAAATGATTGATAAAGACGAGGCATTGGCGCCTTTCTTGAAGTTTTTCGCGCCGAGAGATAGTGCGGATGGAGAGGGAGTGGAAGGAAAGGGAGGGGAGGTTGGAGTTTTCGAGGAAGAAAGTGAATTGGATGGTGATAATGAGGAGGCTGAGAAGGTTAATGTGGAATACTATGAACCGAAACCGGGTGATTTTGTGGTTGGAATTGTTGTTTCAGGCAATGAGAATAAACTTGATGTGAATGTCGGAGCAGACTTGTTGGGTACAATGCTGACTAAGGAAGTGCTGCCTTTGTATGACAAAGAGATGGATTACTTGTTATGTGATACGAATTATGATGCCGAAGAGTTTATGGTTAGAGGGAAGATGGGAATTGTGAAAAATGAAGCTGTGATGGGGGGACCTGTGCTGGGAGGGCCCGTTGTTGAAATCGGAACTGTTTTGTTTGCTGAGGTTCTTGGAAGAACGCTCAGCGGTAGGCCTTTGCTTTCAACAAGACGGCTCTTCAGGCGAATTGCTTGGCACCGAGTGAGGCAGGTCCTTTTCTCACTTTTTTTGTTCTTTTTTCTGCTCATTGGAACGGCATTGGCAATTTATATGGTGAATATTTGTGCTTGCTGCATGACTTCTTATGTGAATTCTGAATATGGTGCCTCTATTGCTGTTATGTTTGAGACCATATTTATTAGTTAATAGTTATTCGGTACTCTTAAGTCTTTTATTATCATGACTTCATGATACTTGATTTTCTCTATGTAACGGCTACATTGGTGGTAGCATTTAGCTCATTACACTCTGACTGGTGACGTTGGATGAAAAATGTAATCCAAACCTTTTTCTTAAAGCTTTTCGACATATTTTACAGATAAAGCAACTCAATGAACCTATTGAAGTTAGAATTACAGAATGGAATACTGGAGGCCTTCTGACAAGAATTGAGGTTTGTATCTTTGACTTTTGTGCGTGTGAAATTGCGAATATATAATTGTTTGAAAACTAACATTTCACCATTTGGTTCATCAGGGTCTGCGAGCTTTCCTTCCAAAAACTGAGTTAATGAGTAAAGTGAACAACTTCACTGAATTGAAAGAGAATGTAAGTTGCTGGTTTTGAGGAATGAAATGTATATCTTTTTTTATGCAATGTTCATTAGGGAACTTTTATTGGCACTCAAAAAATCTAATTGTGCACTCCCCATAAGAGTATTTTTCTTTTTAAACATAGAAAGTTTGGAGTCCAGAATTAGATTTTTGGAGTGCCAATAACAATTCCCTGTTCATTAATCAATACTGATATCATGCATGATGTATCCGCTGGAACTATTTCTTTCTACGACACTTTATCAGTTTCAAATGAAGCTATTTCTTTGAGATGCCAATGGTATAATTAAGAGATGAAAATATAAGAACAATAATTGGAAAATCTATGTAGTTAGATAGTCCAACCAGCCAGAGTTATCATTAACATCAATGCAGCTTGTGAATACTTGAAGCACTTGAAATCAATGGACACAATCCATTATACCCTGTTTCTTTACAGCCAGTGTTTCATAATGATAAGTGCGTGCTTTAGCCCTAAAATGTAGTACCGGCCAAAGTGGGCAATGAGAATACTTAGACATCCGAATTTCAGTAGCAGCCCCATATCACTTGAGGCTTGAAAAGAAAATATATAATCTTCCTTGTTGATATTTAAACTGTGGTCAAGGATATCTCTACAGATATCAGGAATTTTCATTTAAAAGTCGTTTTCTTGTTTTCATCGAGATTTCACATTTGTTGATACTTTTGTCATATATTTTCAGCAGATATTGTAGTTAATGAATTAGTCCGTGATGTGTTTGAACTTAAGTGAAATTTTTAAATTCAAGTTTGAAAATCGTCTTTTTGGTGAAGCTATTTGTACAAGTAATGAGGCTAGGAATTGCAACAGGCAGGGTAGGCAGGGTAGGCCGGGTATTCGCATCCCACCTCAGCCTCTAAACAGGGCACCAACAACTTTTCATTGTTTAACTTTTTCCTCCCTTAGATAGTTGCATATGTTTGATTTGTTAATCTGATTCTTACACATGTTGTTTCCTAATGGTGTAGGTGGGTTGCCGGATGCATGTGCAGATTACTCGAATAGACGAAACTAAGAATGACTTAGTTTTGAGTGAGAAAGAAGCTTGGGTCAGTTGGATTTCGACATTAAATTTATTCATGTTTTTTGTTGCTTGCAATGTTCTCTAATTGTTTGTTCTGAGATTCTGTGATCTTATTTTTCATAAGAACTGACATTGGTTTGCCATATAATGTTTCAGGAACTGTTATACCTTAAGGAGGGAACACTTTTAGAAGGAACTGTCAAGAAAATCTTTCCATATGGAGCCCAAGTGAGGATAGGAGAAACTAACAGGAGGTAGAATGACTTTCAAACTTACTTTAAAATCAGACTGGGCGAATAGTTTCCCTGATTTTTCCACTTTTGAAGAAGCGCTGCATGTGTGGAGTACTTTTGAAAGATTAGAACACCACAAAATGGAAATAAAATAGCATGGGACTTTCTCTTAAAAGGTATCTAAATGCATGAAAAAGATGATACATAATATTGATCTTCATAATAGAAATTAAAATTTTGACCTTTAAAATGAAAAGCATGAAATTTTGTACTACTCTTACCCAGCGGTGGCTTCTCAGAATTGCCTCATTCTGGAAGGTTTCAGGACTTCTGCTGATTTTGGAAAGTTTATTCTGGTAGTGAAAACACTATGAAATGTATCACAAAGACCATTGTGGAAAAGAAAGTACGAGCTATTTGTTTTCTGCTTCCTCTAATATAGATATATGTAAGGTGAAAATAACTTGAAATGAAGATAGTATCATCATTCAGAATTATTGAGGCACCTGCTAGGTTTCGTTGTCGTTATATTTTGTTTCAAGACTTCCTTTTCTTTTGTCTGTGTATAAAAGTTCTACGTTGTTGTCCTTTCCTACCTAAACCAATTCTGGTATCCCGTTGGATCAATATTTTATTGAACGCTGTTTGTTGATTTTAAAATGACAAAGTTGGTTGCTCGTCTAGGAGTTAGAGTTTAGATATATTTCTGAAGAGTTTAGATATATTTCTGAATGTCAACAGGACCTTGAAGGAAATGCTGATCCAAAATGATAAAATGAAAAACGCATCGTTTAATCCACATAGCTTTATCATCGCGTTGTCAATTAAATACATAATATAGCTCAGGCTTGTTCTAGTTGACTGTTATTTACTATACCATTTCCTTACCATATCATTTTTTGTCCTAGATTACAGATGTGTTTAACAAGTGAAGTTTATATCATAAATTTACTTATGTTTGTTGTTGTTGTTGTTTGTCACTGGTGGATAATCGTTTTGAACCTTCTTATTGTTTCCCAGTGGCTTGTTGCATATATCAAACATCACTCGTGCCCGAATTACCTCTGTCAGTGACATACTTAAGGTTAATGAGAAGCTCAAAGTTCTGGTTGTGAAGTCGATGTTTCCTGACAAAATATCTCTCAGGTATACAAGGGAAGGGGATTCTTTCATTTAAATTCATCCATATTGCATACATTTTTGGTGGAGAGAATCTCCTTAATTTTTTCTCTTGTAAAGGCATAATCCTTCTGGCTACTACATACCAATTTTTAAAAACCAGACCTAAGTGAACACTCCAATATACTAAGCAGGGAACTGGTCATAATTCCCCATACCTATGAACTATTTTTTATCAAAACATGCATTGAACCGGATTGACCAAGGTGTGACCTTTTAACCTGGTGACTCGTTCTGGCTTTTTATGACCAAGACCAGATCTCTACATGCGACATAATGCATAAGGGGCCATGGGAAATGGCCTAATAAACAACTGAAATATTTCTAATTGTGTTTTGTCATCCTTGATGCACCTCACTTGGTTTAGGTCCCTTGTCTTCTTTTCCCTTGCTCTAGCTAGTTTATAGATATCCAACTCTCCTTCTTTGGTATCTAGTCGTTTATACATATCGTCGTAAGCCGCTAACTTAGCTTCTCTGACAGCTTTCTTCGCCTCTTGCTTCGCTTTTCTATACCTTTCACCATTTTCATCGGTCCTCTCCTTGTATAAGGCTTTACAACATTCCTTCTTAGCCTTCACCTTTGAATGAGGAGGTACAAACAAAGGTGAAGGCTAAGAAGGAATGTTGTAAAGCCTTATACAAGGAGAGGACCGATGAAAATGGTGAAAGGTATAGAAAAGCGAAGCAAGAGGCGAAGAAAGCTGTCAGAGAAGCTAAGTTAGCGGCTTACGACGATATGTATAAACGACTAGATACCAAAGAAGGAGAGTTGGATATCTATAAACTAGCTAGAGCAAGGGAAAAGAAGACAAGGGACCTAAACCAAGTGAGGTGCATCAAGGATGAGGATGGAAAGGTTCTTGCTACAGAGAACGCGGTTAAAGACAGATGGAGAGGTTATTTTCATAATCTTTTCAATGAAGGACATGAAAGGAGTGCTTCTTTAGGGGAGTTGAGTAACTCAGAAGAGTGTAGAAACTACTCCTTTTATCGTCGAATCCGGAAGGAAGAAGTGGTTGTAGCTTTGAAGAGTCATTGAGCATAGATTGAGGCAAGAGACACGGGTTTCGGACAACCAATTCGGGTTCATGCCAGGGCGCTCAACCATGGAGGCAATCTATCTCTTACGAAGATTGATGGAAAGATATAGAGATGGGAAAAAGGATTTACACATGGTCTTTATAGATTTGGAAAAAGCGTATGATAGGGTCCCAAGAGACATTCTTTGGAGGATTTTAGAGAAGAAAGGAGTACGAGTAGCATATATCCAAGCTATAAAGGATATGTATGAAGGAGCAAAGACTGCCGTAAGAACTCATGAAGGACAAACCGAAAGCTTTCCCATAACTGTAGGATTACATCAAGGCTCATCCTTAAGTCCTTACCTTTTTGCGTTGGTAATGGATGAGTTAACAGGACATATTCAAGATGATATTCCTTGGTGTATGCTTTTCGCAGACGATATAGTGTTGATAGATGAAACTCAGGAAGGGGTAAATGCAAAGCTTAACCTTTGGAGAGAAGTGTTGGAATCTAAAGGTCTTCGCCTAAGCCGATCAAAGACAGAATATATGGAGTGCAAGTTCAGTGCAAATGGAGGCCAAAACGAGTTAGGGGTGAGGATCGGAGATCAAGAAATACCAAAGAGCGACCGTTTTCGTTACCTAGGATCTATCTTGCAAAAGAACGGAGAATTAGATGGAGATCTCAACCATAGAATACAAGCTGGATGGATGAAGTGGAAGAGTGCATCCGGCGTGTTGTGTGACCGCCGTATGCCACTGAAGCTCAAGGGAAAATTTTATATAGGACGGCAATAAGGCCGGCAATGCTGTATGGCACAGAATGTTGGGCGGTGAAACATCAACACGTACACAAAATGGGTGTAGCGGAGATGAGGATGCTTCGTTGGATGTGTGGGCACACGAGAAAGGATAAGATTAGGAATGAGGATATCCGGGGTAAAGTAGGAGTAGCCGAAATTGAAGGAAATATGAGAGAAAATCGGTTACGGTGGTTTGGACATGTGCAAAGAAGGCCTACTGACGCTCCGATTAGAAGATGCGACTATGGGACAGAGGTTCAGGGCCGAAGGGGTAGAGGAAGACCTAGGAAAACTTTGGAAGAGACTCTAAGAAAAGACTTAGAGTACTTGGATCTAACGAAGGACATGACACAGGATCGAGCACAATGGCGTTCTAAGATTCATATAGCCGATCCCACTCAGTGACTTGGATTTTCCAAGTCTCCAACCAAGAAGTTTTCCTCACTCGGGAAATTAAGGGAACACTACCCCAACCTACATGCTCCACTCAGAAAGCTTCAACATACAAGCTTCAACAAAAGAAAATTCAAAGAACTTAGCGAAGAAGGCTTTGGTGTATTTAACACAATACGTTGAAATGAAGGAAAGCTTATTTATTGATATCCCCGATAAGCTACAAATATGTACATATACATGAGTCAAAATAAACACACAAGAGGGAGCCTTCACAAAGGTTGCTTAGGAGAAGTCTCAGCAGTCGGTAGAGCCCCAGAAAGAGAAGGCACCGGAGGGGGATCATTTGGAGCCTCAGTACTGGACAGAACCCTAGAAGGAGGAGGCATCAGAGGTTGATCATTTGGAGCTTCATTACGCGGTACAGCCCCAGAAGACGAAGGCAATAAATGCCTTTGGAACAAACCCACAAATCTCTGATGATCAAGTAAAACCTGACCATCAGTTTCCTTCATCTGGTCAAGCTTCCTCTTCATGTTTGTAGCATAGTCATGTGCGAGCCGGTGCAACTGTTTATTCTCATGCTTGAGCCCTCTAATCTCCTGTTTGAGACTCATCACTTCAGCCGCCAATGATTCAACTTGGCGGGTTCGAGCAAATAGGCGTTGTGCCATATTAGACACAGAACCTGCACACTGAACACTGAGAGCCAGCGAATCCTTAACAGCTAACTCATCAGACCGTTTGGACAGTAGTCTGTTATCTTTGGGAGTGAGAAGGTTCCTGGCCACCACCGCAGCGGTCATATCATTCTTCATCACGGAATCCCCAACGGTAAGAGGACCAGTTGGGGAGACGAAGGATGGGCGCCATATGTTGTCTGGAGAAGGCGGGGCTGCCTCTTCAACAAGGTTCAAGTCAAAACGACGGTCGGAGGGGCCAGACATTTTCAAAGGTGTTGAAGAGAGAAGAGGTCGGACAAATCAAGATCTTAGAAGTGCAAGAATGAAGCTTCTACTGGTGGAGATTCAAGTGTGCTTTGGAACTTAATGCCAGCCCCTATAAAAATCTGCACTCGACGGAGCTTCAGAAATCAAAGAGGCGCCTGCTCAGAAATCGAAGAGGCGTTTGCTTTCTCAAAAGTTGGGCTGCTTAGAGATCACGAGGGTTGATCTCAGAAATCGAAGAGAGCCGTTTGCTTTCTCAAAAGTTGGGCTGCTCAAAAGACCACGAAGGCCGATCTCAGAAATCGAAGAGGCGCTCGCTTTCTCAAAAGCTGGGCTCCCTAGAGACCACGAGGGCCGATCTCAGAAATCGAAGAGGCACCTACTTTTCCAGCCTTGTCAGCACCTGTCACACGCACACTCAGCTTTGCGGAAATTATGGGCATTCTGTCAAAGACTTCTGGGGAAGTAGAAAAACACATGAATCTTACTGTTCAATCACCCACTTCCCACACGCAACAATAGCTCATGGGTACCACAGATAACTTTGCCAAAGTTCTTTGCCAAAGTTGAGCACGTGAAGCTTGCAGCTCCCACTACATCGCTCTGACCAAGAAGGGTAAAAGAATAGCAAAGAAACAGCACTAACAAAGTTTAGACCCATAAATTTTGAAGGTCTAGCTACCATATTATTACCCACAAGGGTAAAGGAACAGTACCACTGCTGGATAATTGGAAAGTCCATGTATGTCAACCTCTGTGCTTCGTGGCAAGGTAGACTAGCAAACATGCCTAACCTTTACTCACATTCGAGAAAACACTCCCAATAAGATTGCTTGCTCCAAAATCGAAGAGGCACCGTCCTCCGAATCTAAAGAGCCAGACTCCCAACATGACTACTTTCTTAAAAATCGAAGAGAGGGTAAAGGAACAGTACCATTGCTGGATAATTGGAAAGTCCCTGTGTGTCAACCTCTGTGCTTCGTGGCAAGGTAGACTAGCAAACATGCCCAACCTTTACTCACATTCGAGAAAACACTCCCAACAAGATTGCTTGCTCCAAAATCGAAGAGGCACCGCCCTCCGAATCTCGAGAGCCACTCTCCCAACATGATTACTTTCTCAAAAATCGAAGAGACACTGCTCCCCGAATCTCGAGAGCCAGACCCCCAGCATGATTGCTTTCTCAAAAATCGGTGAGGCACCGTTCTCCGAATCAATCGAAGAGGCGCTCGCTTTCTCAAAAGCTGGGCTGCTCAGAGACCACGAGGGCCGATCTCAGAAATCAAAGAGGCACCTACTTTTCTAGCCTTGTCAGCACCTGTCACACGCACACTCAGCTTTGCAGAAATTATGGGCATTCTGTCGAAGACTTCTGGTGAAGTAGAAAGCACATGAATCTTACTGTTCAATCACCCACTTCCCACACGCAACAATAACTCATGGGTACCACAGATCACTTTGCCAAAGTTCTCTGCCAAAGTTGAGCACGTGAAGCTTGCAGCTCCCACTACATCGCTCTGACCAAGAAAGGTAAAAGAATAGCAAAGAAACAGCACTAACAAAGTTTAGACACATAAATTTTGAAGGTCTAGCTACCATATTATTACCCACAAGGGTAAAGGAACAGTACCACTGCTGGATAATTGGAAAGTCCCTGTGTGTCAACCTCTGTGCTTCGTGGCAAGGTAGACTAGCAAACATGCCCAACCTTTACTCACATTCGAGAAAACAGTCCCAACAAGATTGCTTGCTCCAAAATCGAAGAGGCACCGTCCTCCGAATCTCGAGAGCCAGACTCCCAACATGACTACTTTCTCAAAATCGAAGAGAGGGTAAAGGAACAGTACCATTGCTGGATAATTGGAAAGTCCCTATGTGTCAACCTTTGTGCTTCGTGGCAAGGTAGACTAGCAAACATGTCCAACCTTTACTCACATTCGAGACAACACTCCCAACAAGATTGCTTGCTCCAAAATCGAAGAGGCACCGCCCTCCGAATCTCGAGAGCCAGACTCCCAACATGATTACTTCCTCAAAAATCGAAGAGACACTGCTCTCCGAATCTCGAGAGTCAGACCCCCAACATGATTGCTTTCTCAAAAATCGAAGAGGCATCGTTCTCCGAATCTCGAGAGCCAGATACCACAGACCACTTTTTCAAAGTGCTCTGACAGAGTTAAAACATGTGAAACTGGCAGCTCCCACTACCGTGCTATGACCAAGCAGGGTAAAGGAATAGCATTACTACTTGTTGTTAGGGAGACTCCTATATATGTCGACCTCCATCCCCAACGGACAGGCAGACCTGCAAAAATGCTCAACCCTTCATCATATCTGAGAGGGCACTCCCAACAAAGCCTTTCGAAATATTTCAGCTTTCTTTCCCCCCGATAATACCTCTGCAAACAAGCTATACTAGAGCAAGAATATCTCATATCATCAGGGTTAAAAGCAAGAGTATCCCATATCATGCTTTTTCCCTGTTTTTTTCTTTTGGCCTTTGTTTTTACCTGCAAGACAAGGAGAAAGAGAGCAATCAGTCAGCACTTGGAATCAAGCTTCCAGCCAGGAACTGACTGCCTGGAACCCCTTACTTGATTACTTACCTGGCATTGCTCTCGAGTACTCATCTTCAACATCTTATGTTTCCAGGGAAGATTCCGCATCTGCTTGAGGAACAGATAGGGCAAGTGCGAAGGATACAAGGAAGCATGTGGAGACAAGCGTAACAGCACACGTGCCGATACATCCATTACTCTGTCAAAAGCAAAAGTATCCCATATCAGCAGGGTGGAACGTACTCTAGATTTGATGGACTTGTTTTGACCCTCAAATTCTTCAGTCGGCCTTATACTCTGGAGGAAACCAGAAAAACCCTCCAGCTCAGTTCAAGAATAAGCCTGTGGAAAGTTACTTCTTCAAAAGCAAAAGTATCTCATATCATCTCTTCTCATTTTTCTTCTCTTTATCCTTCATGCTGCTGCAAGATGGGGAGAAGGTGAACAATCAGTCGGAGCTCTGATTGCTTACCTTGTCTGTCACCTCTTTCAGCAGACCCCTAGCTAGGCGACTTGGGGGACTCCTACTACATGGTTTGTATCGCGCTTGACCAAGCCTGAAACTACAAGTAAGCTTCAAGTGAAATTGATACATTACCTTGTGCATCTCCACCAGTTAAAGATACCACCCCTGGATGGAGGAAGAGTACTTCCAGAGAAGATGCCACATCTACCTATGAGACAGATAAAGCAAGTCAAGACGACACCACACTCCGATACTTAGAAGTTTCGTGATTACGAGATCATTCTCCCACAATATTTCCTAATGTCATTTGTACTAAATCATTCACTCGTACTCACTAAAGGAGAGCTTGAACCTATGTACTTGTGTAAACCCTTCACAATTAATGAGAACTCTTCTATTCCGTGGACGTAGCCAATCTGGGTGAACCACGTACATCTTGTGTTTGCTTTCCTATCTCTATCCATTTATATACTTATCCACACTAATGACCGGAGCAATCTAGCGAAGATCACAAAAAGCGACCGTTTTCGTTACCTATGATCTATCTTGCAAGAGAACGGAGAATTAGATGGAGATCTCAACCATAGAATACGAGCTGGATGGAAAGAGTGCATCCGGCGTGTTGTGTGACCGTCGTAGGCCACTGAAGCTCAAGGGAAAATTTTATAAGACGGCAATAAGGCCAGCGATGTTGTATGGCAGAGAATGTTGGGTGGTGAAGCATCAACACGTAAACAAAATGGGTGTAGCGGAGATGAGGATGCTTCGTGGGATGTGTGGGCACACGAGAAAGGATTAAGATTGGGAATGAGGAAATCCGAGGTACAGTAGGAGTAGCCGAAATTGTAGGAAAGATGAGAGAAAATCGGCTCTGGTCATTTGGACATGTGCAAAGAAGGCCGACTGACGCTCCGGTTCGAAGATGTGACTACGGGACAGAGGTTCAGGGCCGAAGGGGTAGAGGAAGACCTAGGAAAACTTTGGAAGAGACTCTAAGAAAAGACTTAGAGTACTTGGATCTAACGGAGGACATGACACAAAACCGAGCGCAATGGCGTTCTAGGATTCATATAGCCGACCCCACTTAGTGGGAAAAGGCTTTGTTGTTGTTGTTGTTGTTGTTGTTTGTGTTTTGTCATTTTATCATCAATTGTCAAACGATGTATTTGTTCAGTTATGTAAATAAGGGAAAATCTATTGTATGTCCAAGGGATTGAACTTCTGATCAATAGGTCTAGGAGTAGGACACATGATGTCTAATGCCACAACTTCATCTCTTGTTTTTATAAAACATTTTTCCTATTTTGAGAATTGCTCTATGTACATTTTGGTTAGCGATGAAGCTTTGTGAACCATAACCATGAGATTTCAGGTTCATGCCTATTTTTTTAGTTATGGGACATAGAATCACGTAAATCCATTAGAAGTCATCTATGTCATATGTTATTTGAAATTCTGAAACCTCATTCCCCTGCAGTACGCTCCTTTCTCCTCTCTTTCGCACTCTTTTTTCCATCTCTTCAAGGTCTGTCTCGTATCTGTTCTGTATTTGGCTCTGCAATAGTTTTTTTCTTTTTAAGATAAAGTTAAGTATGATTTTGTTTGTTTGTTGTGAATCATATTATTCAATTATTTGTGGCCTATTTTTCCCCTTCTGGGAAGTACCTTTATGAAGAATAGATTCCCTGGATTAGCAGCTTTCACTTTGTCATTTAGTCCTGAAGTTTCAGCCCTTTTTAATAGCTAGAGTATTGTTTGGCACGCAAGATTCAAAAAATGACTTGTAGAGGATAAATTCCTTTAGGTTAGTTTCAGTTAACTTCATCGCAAAAGGGATTTGCGTTTTTACTATTGTTTCACATAAACTTCATCACATTTTTCTCTGAGTTTCCTTTGTAACCCCAAAGTGTATTTTCACGACCTTAAGCTATTGTCTTCTGATTTTTCTGTTTTGCTTGAAATTAATTTTGTTTGAGCAATCACAACTGATGGCAACTTCAACTTTTCTTGCAGCATTGCTGACCTTGAAAGTGAGCCTGGCCTCTTTTTGTCGAACAGAGAGGTAACACCATTCCTTAAGTATTTGTTTCCCCTAGTTATGAAATTACTCGTTTCGCCTGAGTAGTGCTTCCACAAGAGATGATGAACTTAATTAATAACATTTCTTCCTTTTGACAGAAATTATTTTCGGAGGCTCAAATGATGGCAAAGAAGTATAGGCAAAAGCTGCCTGCTGTTCTTGCCAACCGCAAGTCAGAATCCCCTGAAAACGATGCTCTGCCTTTTGACAAATTAAGCATGTATGCAAATTGGAAGTGGTTCAAATTCGAAAGGTAATAAGAACCAAGCTGATGCTTAAGGTTGCCCTGTGATACTGGTAGTTTGAAAGAGCACTGTTTAACTTTGCCGTCCATCTCAAAGCACACATTCCTCGAGAGTCGACAGGTAAGAAAAGCAAACTATTTTGTTTTGTGATGAGTCTTAGATTAGGGAATTTACCTTGTTATCCATTAGAAAATATGTAGTCTGCAAAAGGAGAAAGCATAAGATGGTTGCGGTACAGCATTTTTCACATGACATTCTGTTTAAAGATTCGAAAAGAACTCGAACCAAACATATTCATTCGGAAATCGAAGTCTCATTTGTTAGTTGGTCATTGCTCTCACATCTTCGATCTTCATCTGTCATTGAACTCAGCTCGAGTATGATCGTACACTCATGTCCTAATTATCTGTGCAATCTGTGTATTCATCACCTAGCGATTTTCCAATGCTTGGTTTGTGTCATATTTCCCTTACAATGCTACAATGCATCATATATTCGTGTCCTAATTAGTATGCATCTTTTAGTAAACCAAATCCATAATGTTTTGTACCAAAACAGAACCAATTCCGAAAAGTTTGGTACAACTTCGGCACACCCTTGCATAGCCGCGAAGCCTTCTTTGTGGAGCAACTTCCTTCAGTTCTAATAAGGTGTGGGCTTGCCTTGGGGGTGCTCCCTAAGGATAAAGTGTAGGAGGAATGTATTGAATGATCATAGAAAAAGTAATGACAGCCTTCACAAATGTAACTATTTAAATACAATTTGTTGATATTATGTTATATACTATTTACTATGAAATAAGTTGGTCTCGCGTTGTTTTGTTGTTATTAAATTAATTAATGGAGATGGCGAGAAAAGATACATATCATAATATTAATAAAATATTAAAAAATTACTGTAAATAGAACATATCAACCCGAATGTTCAATTGCCATATGATGTAGTGATGTACCACTTTATATTACAAGTAGTGTTTAAAATTTCTTTGATACGGGTTGATATTTTTACGGAAAAATTCAAACAATCAAAGAAAGATGAAAATGAGGGTGAAGTCCAAATTTTCCTCCTATTATAAAAACTTTTAAGGTTAGATTAAAATTGACATATATCGTCGATATTTCAGAATACATATTATAAATATCGGAAACTCTCTTATATTTCATCTAAACTAATGTTTGACAATTTCTTAAGTTTCATTTTAAATTTTCATCATTTCCATCGAAATAAACTGATATTAATATCGATGTTCGATATATTCATTAATATTTTTACAAATTTACATATATTGATATTCCAACACTGCTATTTTAAACACTAGTTAGAGGTACACATAAAAATTACTCTAGGGTGGTGGTGGTGGTGGTAGACTAGTTGCGGTATAAATTCACGGAAATGGATCCTCTTTGGATCTTTTCCATAAAATCCATTAATTCGGACTCTTGAAATTTGATTAAACGGTTAAAAACAGAGGCCTCAAAAGTTATAATAACTTTAGTCATTAAATTAAATTTCAAGAGTCTGAATTTATGGATTTGGTGGAATTGATTTGGAGAGGATCCTTTCCTTAATTCACCAGTACTAGACAACAAAAGTACGGATGATAAGTTAAAGAAGAGAAATCAAATCTGAATACATACAAATGTCCTTTCTTGAACCCTAGAATTAACACACACCCCCCCCCCCCGGGGTGCGTGCGTACCCATTTCTATTATAGCCGTCAGATCAATCTGAACGGTATGTATAAAGTCTTAAAATTAAGTTAATACTCTCCTAATAAAATTCCCAAATTCTTTCCCACTCTTTCCCCTTCCCGGCCGCCATCAATCACCGCCTCTCCCCGCCATATAACTCCATCGAAACAACCACCTTTCCTTCCATCTCAGACTCTGAGAGAGAGAGAGAGAATGGGTAAGAACGAGAAGACGGGGCTGGGTAGGGCCCTTGTGAGACAGCATAACCAACTGGTTCAGCAGACGAAAGAGAAAGGCCTGATGTACAAGAGGCAGCAGAAGAAGGTTCTCGAATCCGTCACCGAAGTCAGCGACATCGACGCCATCGTCGAAAAAGCCGACGAAGCCGACCGCCTCTTCTCCCTCGACCACGCTGCCCCTAACCTCCTCATCGACCTGTAAGTTTTATTTCCCCCTTTTACCCCTCAACTCGATCAAATTTTAGAAATCCCTCTTTCTTTCTTATTTGTTTTAATGGTTTTTCTGTAATTTTGTTATGCGAGAAGAGATGGGAATGAGATAACCCCGGAGCAGCGGAGGGAGCAGAAGAGGAAAGAGGAGGCCCTGCACGCCGGAAGTCTGCGCGTGCCGCGGAGGCCTCCGTGGACCCCTCAAATGTCTGTGGAGGAGCTGGATAACAATGAAAGACAGGCCTTCTTGACCTGGCGCAGAAGCCTTGCCAGGCTTGAGGAGAACGACAAGCTTCTCCTTACTCCTTTCGAGAAGAACCTCGATATTTGGAGGCAGCTGTGGCGGGTTGTCGAGCGTAGCGATTTGGTAAGATTGGCCAAATGACCTCGTCTCTGTTTCAATTTCACTGTGAATTATTATTATTATTATTATTGCATAATAATATTGTGCGGTATTTTATGTCAGATTGTGATGGTTGTTGATGCGCGAGACCCTCTGTTCTATCGCTGCCCCGATCTTGAGGTAATGTTAGTAATTTGTTGTTCGTTTACATTATCTTGTCGCGTGTGTTAAGGAATGGATGATAAGGGAATGAGCACATTGTTTAACCTTAGAAGTTGGATTAATTGGTGGCGTTGCTTGATAGGGATTTAGGGGTTGTTTGTTATTCAATTTGAAACTAAGTTATAGGTTTAAAAATGATGAGACGTAACTAAATTACTAAAAAGGTCGTACCCAGTGCACAAGGCTCCCGCTTTACGCAGGGTTTGGGAGAGGTGAATGTCGGCTAGCCTTACCCCCATTTAGGAGAGGCTGCTCCCAAGTCTCGAACCCGAGACCTACCGCTCATGGGCGAAGGCACTTGCCATCGCACCAAGTGCGACCTCTTAGACGTAACTCAATTACTAAACAAGAAAATTGAATCCAACAAGGATAAACAAAACCGGCGCTTAATTACCATAATGACTTGTGAAGCTTCAAAAGGATAAGTTGTTACTGTTATTGATGCATTCAGATTGGTTTGTAAAATATAGACTACAAATTGCACACTGGGTTTTTGTTGAAGAAAAACAGGGTTAAGCTGGTTCAAAACTGTTACTAAGAAGAGCCCCATCAATCTTGATGGTGTGAGTCTCTTCCATTGAATTCCCAAGGGACGAATCATTTGTAGTTTTCTCAAGATACTTTGAAATGGAGAAACCTTTGGTTCTTTCCTCTTTAACTAGAGATGACTTTGAATAACAGTACTTATCTTTACCTTATGCAGGTTTATGCACGAGAGGTCGACAAGCACAAAAGGACAATGCTTCTTGTTAACAAAGCAGATCTCTTACCTTTATCTGTTAGGTTTGTACTTTTGTAACCTTGATCCGCTGTTCTGTTCTCCAATTTGACACCCTCCTAAATTAATTTTATTACTTGGCTTTTTCTTCAGGGAGAAGTGGGCACAATATTTCCGTTCGCAAGATATTCTCTTTGTGTTTTGGTCGGCTAAAGCTGCTACAGCAGCTACAGAAGGGAAAAGTCTCAGTTCCCCGTGGACAGAAAATAGCCTGCAGGAGTCAGAAGACCCTGATACAAAAATATATGGGAGGATTGAGCTTTTGGCTCGTTTACAATCTGAGGCAGAAGAGATAGTAAAACTGAGGAAATCAGGATCCAGTGGTTCTCGAAGTGGAAATATTGTTAGAAATTCAGCTTCTAGTAATGTAGTTGTGGGATTTGTTGGATATCCAAATGTGGGAAAGAGCTCGACAATTAATGCCTTGGTAGGCCAGAAGAAGACAGGTGTTACCTCTACTCCTGGGAAGACAAAGCATTTCCAAACATTGATTATGTCTGACGAGTTAATGCTATGTGATTGCCCTGGATTGGTCTTTCCATCCTTTTCAAGCTCAAGACATGAAATGATTGCTTCTGGTGTATTGCCAATTGATCGAATGACTGAGAATAGGGAGGCTGTGCAGGTAGTGGCCAATCGAATTCCACGACATGTTATTGAAGCGGTTTATAGGATTGATCTGCCCAAGCCCAAATCCTATGAACTGCAGTCTCGACCACCTTTGGCAGCAGAATTTCTGAGGGTCTATTGTGCCTCTCGTGGTTATGTCGCCTCAAGTGGGCTTCCTGATGAAACGAGAGCTGCCCGCCAAATTTTGAAGGATTACATTGATGGGAAGCTGCCCCATTTTCAAATGCCCCCTGGAATGACTACTGAAGAAGATGCTGTGGGAAACGGCTTATCTGAGCAGCATAAATCAGACTCCTCTGAGCATGAACACTCTGTAGATGATGAAGGTGAGGACGAGCCAGAGCTTGATCATGTCTTGGAAGACCTCAATTCATTTGACTTAGCTAATGGGCTTGCTACCAAGAAGAAAGTCACTGTCAGAAAGCCAACTGCACCCCATAAACAACACAAAAAGACTCAGAGGAAGAAGGATCGCTCCTGGAGGGTAGGGAATGACAGTGGCGATGGAATGCCAGTTGTAAGAGTCTTTCAAAAACCAGCAAACACCGGTCCTCTTAAGGTTGGATAATTCATTCATGCCCCCTTAACCTTTATTCAGCTTCTTGTGCTGCAATTTAGAATCCATATGCATATGGGCTTTGTGTAATAGCAATCAAACTCTCTTTCCTGTGCATTGTTGCCGTACACTCACCTTCATTTCTGCCCAACCCACGACAACCAAAAAGGTGAGTGATGAAAGTGTAAGGAAGCATTTATGTATTTTCTTATTGACGAGTGTGTACTACGAATTCGACCCGAATAAAACAGGGTTTTCACCTAACATAGCGCCGTTCCACAATTGAAATCCACAATACAGTTATAACAAATGCTAAAGCCCAGACGGGGTTGATGCAAGAAATTGGATACTTGATCCTTCAGTATGCTTCTCTGTTAAATCACATTGCGATTTCCTTCTGAAAAACAGTGCAGGTAGGGTTTTTCAGGCTTATGGCCTGATTTGGAAATCTGAAGTTCCTAACAAAGTGAGGTTTTTACTTTGTTAGTGGCTCATGGGGAAGTTAACACTTTTGAAATGCTCCAAAAACGGAGACCTAGTTCATGTATGCAACCTGAGTGGTGCATTTTACGCAAGAAAAGTTTAAAAGTCAGTTGATCATTTGTTTCTTCACTGTGCGGTGACTTTGAATCTATGGTTGAAGTTGTTTAGGGAGTTTGGTATCGGTTGGGTTTTACCCAGGGATTGTTAATTCTTTGGGTGGCGAAACATAAATTATTAGGAGTGGGGAATAAAATCAAGGTCTCATGGAGCTGTATGGTTTCAGCTACCTTTTGGGTCGGTAGAGATTTGTGATTAGATTGATAACCCATAAATTTGAACTTTCACGAAAGTAGCTGATATACCTTTAGATTTAACAGAAAAATAAACGGCATTAATGAAAAGGAGCAATGGTACAACATATTGTTAAGAAATGGACGATTTGATAAATAAAATGACGGGATTGCGGTTATTTCAAATTGAACAACGTTTACATACGTGTAATTTGGTTTACGTAACATTGGATTGAGATCAAGTTATTGAGGAATGAATCACTAAATACTAGATAGGAGGAATAAGAAATGCTCTTTATGAATTTTCTCCCGTGACTTTATAATGCTCATGGAGAGCATTTATAGTTTCTCTTTTTTAACATTTTTGCGATTCCCCCTATA